TGTTTTTATAGATAATTTATTAATATTTGATATATTTGAGTAGAGAGATTTTGAAAGCAGTGGCCTATCGCATGAATCTGCAAAAAATATATTAAATAGCAAAGCTGATAATGAATGATTAAGAGAGGCCTCGCCTCAAGATTCTGATCCTAAAACTTATTTATGAAAAAGCCCATCAATGTTACAAGAAAAGATGGATGAATTGTTTGAAATCGAGTATTAGCAATAGTTTTTTTGTAATTTTTTTTCTTTGTATTATGTTTTATGCTTTAAATTCCATTATTTTTTTTCTTTATATTGTTTATATTCATTTTTTTTAATGTTTAATACATCAGTTTTAATATCAAATATATGCATGTAATAAAGGTTATATTTAATAAAATCAATTATTGTTTTAAGCATTTTTAAAACTAGCATTATTGCTATAAATTAGTAGTATAAATTTTATTTGAAACTTATTGATATAAATCGAGTATTTTTATATAATTGATTAATAGCGATTTTTTGTTATAATAGCTATATATTAATATTTATCACAATTGATATAACTCAACAGGGGAATTATTATTGATATATATCTGCATAGATAATAATTAATATATATTAGCCTATAATTTTTGCTGATGAATGTTGTCTAATCTAATATTATTTAAGATCTATTATTCCTTTAAAACTAATGAACTTGGTTTAGAGAGAGAAATACATTATTAGAAGCACTTTATAAAAATATTGCCTTGACTTTTTTGAACTCTAATTTGTGACTGTCTCTGTCTCAGGTTATTTGAAGGTTTTTTTTTTCTAGACACTATGTTATTTGATTTTTATATAGAAAGTAATGTATTTTATATACTCAACCTATCTTATATTATTAAAGGCACATAATGAATTTAATGAACTACTTGGTTTTTAATAAATAATGTTTATTTGTCTAAAAGTGTTAAAGCATACAAACTTGGTTTAAAAGAAGCAAAAACATTACCAGAAGCTCTTTATAAAAACACTACTATAACTTTTTTAATTTTGATATAAGTTTGCTTCAGGTTAGTTAAATAGTTATATTAGTGACAAAACTGTTGTATCATTATTAAATATTTTAGACCCATCAGGTTACCAATAAATATAGTGATTCAAGTATATTAAGAAATACTTCCAGAAACAACACTTTAGAACTATCTTAGGTCAGTTGGAAGAACTATTAATATATTATACTATAATTAACTAATGTGAGTTCTTTAAGATACTTGATATAAATAGCAAAAGCTGATTTTGGCTTTTGCTATTTATATCAAATATCTTAAAAAACTTATACTAACTAAATATTGTATTATTTAAAAAATGCAAATTAAAGTTTATAATTTATTATAGGAATATTCTGAATTAAACTTTTCATATGCCTATAAAAATAACTCTCTTATTGATTTACAAACTATACCAACCTTTTCTGTACCTACTTTTAATCACTTTGATACTTCCTATTTGGAACTCCATATTGAACAATCCAGTTTGCTTAAGTTATCTGATTCTAGTAAAAGTGATAGCTATAATGATGTTAATAGTTATGATAGTTATAGATATTTATTTAATTTACATATTAATGATCATTTTGATATGTTTGAAAAAGCTGGAAAAAAACTTAATAGATATGCAATAGAACATGAGTTTGCTATTAGGAAGAGACATACACATACATGTAATAATAAAACAGTATGAAACACTACCTAAGTATATTATTTATCTGAATAATAGAAACCTAAAAAAATAATTGACTCTGATAATCAATGTAACCATGATACAAATGTTACAAATTGCAAATGGCATTGTAATTTTTTAATGAGTAATAAAGCAACAACAATACATTGTTTTTTACTAGATGATAATTCTATTCATAACCACCCTATGAATAATAATATTAAAAGTAATGTCCTAAAATATTACAAGTTAAATAATAAAATGCTCAATAAAGTTGAGTTATATTATCAATGTCATATTCAACCTAGTAAAATAATTAACTTATTTTTTTTTTAAATATTAAGGTAAGTACTTGTGACCCAGAATTTTATTAGTAGTATATTTGGCTAATGAATGCTTTACAACTATAGGAGACAACTATAAGAAAAGTGTACAACTAGCCATTTGTACAACTTTAGTTATTGTCTAATTTAAGTAGTCTGCCCAAAAGTTCTACACTAGCTGTCATACCTGGAACCTGCTTGTAGGTTCTTCATTTAACCACTCTGTTTCCATATCTACCCATCTATCTCTGCCTACTAATAACCCTGGCCAATGCTAGTAAAAATATGCCATGGCCACTAAGCCTTTAAAGCAGTTCACTCACATGATGAACCTTTAATCTTGTACTAAACCTTCCAGAATCTTCCATATCCTATTCTTACAGCTGACCTGGTATTGCTATGATCAAAACCAACACTAGTGGTCAAGGTGTATCATTAAACCCTATGCTCTTGTAGAGTTTACCCCAACTCTAGTACTGACTTTACAACATATCCTTACTACTTTGGTATTCAATTCAAGTTCTACCAAGCTGCTATTCCAGATAGCCCAGAAAGGTAAGTTGAAACCATACACCTCTGGTTTACATGTTTGCTAGCATGTGTTCTTTTTCTCCAGAACCTAGAAATTCTAATGGCCTGGTTGATTCACCTGGTTCCTCCTCAAAGACCAGCATATTTGCTCAGTTTCACAAGTTCTAGCTCCGTTTCATAAGTCTAGTCTTTACAGTAGCACTATCGAAGGTTCAGATTACCTCTCTACTCAGGTCTTCCAAGTGGGCTTCCATCTTCCTACCTGGTTCCTGTGATTTATATAGCCTAAGGACTTATCTTGGGTTCACACCATCTGGTACCAGTTTGTGTTTCTTTGTACAACATTGTATGAGTGCCTTAGACCTTCCAGTCATGCTAGTATAACATAAGTTACAGATATCTTATCACAACTAATCATGGAAAACAGTTAGCCATAACACAGAAAGAATTGCAAATTTTCACCATCACTGGGATTTGAACTCTAGACCTGCTACTTGGGGGTTGACAACCTATCCACTTCACTAGGTCGCCACACCCCCTTAATTTATATAATGTAATATTAAATAAAACTAATTTTGTTAATGATTTGAGGTTATACAAAAAACATGTAAAAGAGAAAATTTGAGAGTAAGGACAAAGTAATTTTTTAAAGAGCAATAAAGGAGTTAAAGTTATTTTTTGTTGTAATTCTGTTAGTTTTGGAGCTACAAGCTTCTTTTTAGACTTGTTTTGATTGGAAAGAGAAACTTTACAACTTTTATTAGAACAGTATTGTGGGTTAAAAGATTAACAGATGAGAAATAATTAAAAGTTTAATTACAAAGACTAAAGGCTGTTTTAGCAGTATTAAACTGCGAGTTTGAAAGCTAAAAATCTATAACTTTTAGAGTATATACAAAATTGTGTGCTGAACAAGTTTAATTAAGGCACCAAAGTTGGTTATCTTAGTAAAATAGCCAGTTATTAGCGATTTTATTGCTAATGAATTTTTTGTTTTTTTGTATAAAAGGATTTACAGAAAAAGTTTTCTTTAAAATTTTATTATTATTATTATTATTAGCAAAAATACCATTCCTGATAGATCATCGGTACTGTTCCTGATAGGGTAAGAAAAAAATTGATCTACATCCTGTTCCTGATAGACTGCCAGGTAGATGTTACACAAACTGACAAATTAATTAAAGCATGCTAACGATTATCAATCTTTTAGATATTGAAATGTTTAATTATCAAAGAAATCTAACTATGCAAAGAAACATTTTACTTAACTTTGTTATGAAATTATACTGTTACTTTTTATGATATACCTGATTGCTTATCACAGTATTGTCAAATTATTATGATTAGTAGCATCTGAATTTGCTAATATTAATTACAATTAAGTATTTAAGATATAACTATGATTTAAAGCTCTTGATTTCATGTAAACAAGGCATGTGAATTTTTTTTTTGTCTATCAGACGAACAAAATATTTAGTTGTATTAAGCATAAGTGTTGACCTTTAAGATTTATATGGTTGTTATGTATGTGAACTATCTACTTATTAAGAAATATACAAAACTCAATTAAGAGATTAATTAATGCTGATGTATACTACAAACATCCTGCTTAATCATACAAAACAATTGGTTCTAAGAGAAAAGGATGCCTCTGTTGTTTTAAGCAAATATAATTTTAATATCCTTTTCTCTTGGCAGCCTTATATAAGACAGCTATCCAATAAATAGAATCTATGGCACTTTTATTTTATTTATTTTGTTTAAAAAAAATTGTTCTGACTATAATACTCACCCTTATATTGCCTATTATTCTCTGGTGTAAGTTTTTCTTCCTTGTTTTCTTCCTGTTAGATATTGGAATTGTTTGTTGAAACATCAGCATTCTCTTGAACAGTAAATGTCAATGAGTTCCACACTTCATCTCTGTTAGCATTAATGTTAGCATGACAATTGAATCTTACTTTTAGAGACCATAGAGAATCACTCAACAAATGCACAAGATTCTTAGATTGAAAATTGACCAATCTGTTATTTAAGAAACACATATAAGCATACAGTGGTGCATGCTCTGAATTGATGCATAATTACAAAATAATCCTGCTAAAGGATTTTGGATATACAGATTTTTCAACTAAGAATTCATAAACTCATATTCATATCTACTGTATTTTTTTTTATAAACTAAGGATTCGTAAACTAAGCATATGTTTCCTTATAAACTGAGGATTCATAATCCCAATTCTTTTTTATAGACAAAAGAATATCGGGATCTCATAGTTCTGTATAATTATCACATATTTATTAAGAATAATTCATATTTTATAAAAACAGCTTTGCACAAGTACAATATATATAGCTATTTTAAGTTGTTTAAACTGTTATTGCATTAATTTATTTATTTTGTTGGAAAGAGAAAGGGGAAAGCAAAGCATAAAGATGAGACTAAAGTTAAGTATATTATATTTCTTTTGCATTCTTCACTCGGATTTTTTTATTACTAATCCACCAATATAATTTCACATTATTTCCAATAGAATTATCATCCAAACATAGTCTTTTTGTTACTGCAGCATTTGTAAACTCTTTTGGAATCCAATCACACCCTTGTTCAAGAAATAATTCTTCTAATAATCTCTTCATCACAAAGCCATGTTATTTTCTTTTCCACTATTTAATATACATGACTAAAAATAAAAATAAAATAAGTATATAATGATAAATAAATTAAAATAAAATTAACTAATGCTAATAGACCTACAGATTGAGTGAAAGCTTTATGCTTATTACGAATTCTTGTAGTATTTCATCTATGAACAAAAGGTGGAAGTTCTATAAATTTAAATATATTAATAAGAATTCTTAAATTAATTCTAATATATTTGTTGAATTTAATACCTTTATATTCATCACTCTGAGCATATTTTGTGGATTCAGCAAAAGAGTCATCATATTTGTCATCATAAGCATTAATATTTTTAGTATCGCAAGTATAATCTTGGTTGAGGTTGTTTAAATGATTCTTTGGTAACTTGTTATTTAAAGGTTTTTCAACAAGATTTGAAAATCAGCTAGGTTTGCAATATTTTGCTCCATGTATTTTTGGTGCTCCGATCATTGTAGAAATTGAAATATTGTCAATTGGACAAAAAGGATCTTTCATATTGTTTAATGTTTATTTAAAAAAAAATAGCATCACCTACAGCATTAAAGAGTTGTAAAATCTCTTAATAGGCTTGTTTACTGAACCTATTGTAAATAAGATAATTTTATTCTCTGATGCAATTGCTCTCTCCTTATTTTTGAAATACTCTATTAATTTTTTTTTAACATCTTGTTTTTGTAGTTTTCCACATGATAAGTTTATATAAATTTATGCTGCATAAATGTGTTTACAAGCATTTCTAAATGATTCATTCCAGACATAATCATAACATGTGCACTCATTAGTTGATATATTAATAAGATAATTAGATGCTGGTATGTTAATATTATCACAGTTGATTAATTTAATAATCATCTTATCAATTTGTTCTGACACATCTGTTGAAATATTAATGTAATGATTATTATAAGGTGAGCAAAATATTGCACTCTGCTTTTTAACAAACATATAATTTGTTTATTTGGGTATTGGAATAATGAAATCAAGTAGTACATAAAGGCGACCTTGATTTATATGATGTTTTTGATTGATCGGCTTTTTGAATGGCATTTGTTTGTGTTCGATCATACGCATATTCCAATAAGTTGCCAGACCTGCATCAGATAAAGTTTCATCTAGTTCACTTTGAACCAATGACTTTTTAATAAATTTAACATCATATAAATGCTCAATAAATGATACAACTATCTGAGTTCTGCTGCACTGTGATTCTATAGTTTTATTTATTCTCTCTGTTAAGTTATTTGTTGTTATTGGCTTTGCACCAGTTAAAGCATACATTTGTGATTCTCACCCTCTATCAATAAAACCTTGCCTCTATTCATTGCAAATCCAATTCATTTCCAAATTATGAATCAAAAGATTTTTGACATTGTCATCAAGTGGTAAAAAGTATATAAACTTCTTATATTCATTTCCCATTTCAGCTGCCTCATTATCAGATTTACTCCAGCCTACAATTTTGAAAGCCAATGCTATAGAATATCGTAAATTCCAATCAACTTTCCATTGTTGTAAATGTTCTCCTAAAGTTGACATTATATGAAACCAACATAAAATAGTACTACGAACAAGATTTTGTAATGCAAGTTTGGTTAACTGATACTTATCCATTATAGCCAACAGATTCCAATATGATATACATTCACGTATACGCTTAAATCCCTGCCCATCTGGCAAATCAATATATTGATATTGATGCATACAATAAGGATTATTGAATAAAATATTAGCCTTTACTGCCTATACTGCTAACCATATTGTATAATGGTTTTCTTTATTACTAAAACCAAAAGCCAATGAAGAACCATATTCAGCCTGATCTTTGATAACTATAAACAATACTGGTGCACTTTCACTATTTAAATCATATTTACCATCAATTCTAAAACAGAATTGTCTATAATCATGGCCTTGACTAAGCTATAATTCATTACTTAAAGTTAACTGATAATAGTATTCTGGACTATTTTTTGAAGCTGAGACATCCTAATGTTGGTAATAAAGAACTTTTTCTTGTATTTTCAATTCTGAAGTAAGCAATTGATCCAAAATAGTCCACAGATCAGCATCTTCATATAATCAATGATCATCTCTTTCAATAAGCCTTTTTAATTGTTGTTCATTATACAAATCTTTGCCTAATTTATGCACATATCGAAGATTGATCTTGTCTGCATTATTGTATAGAAATAAGACTTTTAATGCAATTTCTGTTCCAGAGGTACAGTGTCCATGACATGCAGCTATTGCCATATCATGAGTTTAAAGACTCAAATTGATTCTGCCTAACTTTGGTTCTGCTGCAGGTATTGACAAAAATCTATGTGTACTCTTAATAACTAACTGTACTGATAAAAGTTCTTCAATGTCAGAAAGCATAACTTTCATAATAATCTGAACTGTGCATTTGTGCATATTGAAATCATTTTTAAGATTATTTTTTAAATAAAAATTTGGACATTTGGATTTACACTCTTCAAGTCCACTACATGCTCTTTTACAATCATTACTGCCATCACAAAAAAGAAGCCATCTCTATACTGTTAAATCTGATGTCATGTGTTGTTTTATTTTAATCACACAATCATGATCTTTATTGGTAAGCTCAAGTATATTATCTAATCTATTTGTTATTTTGATTTGTCCTTTACTAGTTTTCTATGCAAGATAATTGATAGCACCTTTAACCCATTTCAAAGTAATAAGTCCAGTCTTGACATTTTCATTGACATAGAGCCGACTTGTTTTTTTGAGTTTACAATTTGTAAATAAAGATAGTGAATTAATATATGTTTCAACTGCATGTCCGAATAGTAAATTAATGCTTTTATTACTGTTAATATGATGTTGAGGAAGTGGATATATTGTACTCATTATCTAAAAATAAATAAATAAATAAATAAAAAAGAAAAAAAAAAATTGTAATAAACCTTTAACTATTATAAAGTATTTTAATTAACTACATATTTTTTAATTAATGTGATAATATATTTCAACTTACTTAGGTTTTAATTTTTATATAACAGCATAAGTTTGATAATTTTGCACTATTATATATCTATTTGAAAGTAGATATTCTCTTTTTTCTATTATTCTTAATTTAAATATACTTAACGTAGTTATTTTGTTAATAACACCATCTCACTTACAAGTTCATGAGACAAAAGCATACTTAAATGAAAGATGTTCCTTTTTATACTTATTACATCATCGATCACTCTCCACATCAGTTAAAATCTAGCGAACAATATACTTATTACTATTTGTGTTTAAAATACAATGATGATCATCTAAATAAATAAATTACTTTGATCAATAATCGATCAAATTAAAAGCACTACATATACAGATATAACGAATAATAAGAAAACCTGAAATAAATATTAGGTTCAATAATTCTCCTTAGTAATTAATCATATTATAATAAAGAATACAAATTATGCTAGGACTTCTATAGTTATTAATTGGTAATAAATATTACACAATTATTATGTTATATTTTAAGGTAGTAGTTTATTTATTTTTTTTTTTGGTATTAAGGTGACCTCTTTGGTCTTTTGACTTTTATTAATCACTTATCGGTATTGTG